ACATCTAGTGGGAGTGTTATAAGTGCATCAAAAATAAGGACTAAGCTTAGCTTGAAGAAACAAAAGGAAGACAATGGGGGTGGGGGTGCTAAATCGGAGTTGGATAAATACATTAGTGAAGAACAAGAACCTTTTAGTGAAGACTTTGATATCTTGAGTTAGTGGAAAACACATGCTCCTAGATTTCCTATTCTTTCGGAGTTGGCTCGTGATGTGTTGGCCATTCCAATTTCTAGTGTGGCATCGGAATGCGCATTTAGCACCGGTGGCCGTATTCTTGATTCATTTAGGAGTTCATTGACTCCTAAATGTGTGGAAGCTCTTATTTGTGTTCAAGATTGGCTTAGAGAAGAGAACAATCCTATTAGTGTTGAAGAAGACTTGAAGTATCTTGAGGAACTCGAGCTCGGTAAGCTTTAATATTTTGCGTGTATTTTAGTTCAAAATAATATATCATGCTTTTTCATTTGTATGACATATTTGGTCGAATTATCTATAGATATGGAAAATAATGGAAGCACAACTAGCATTGTTTGATGTATAGTTGCAACTTGCATCTTGAGAGGTAAGTTTAATACTCATTTTGTTTGGTGATATACTTAATACTTTTGTAGTTTTGTTTTTTTATCATCAAAATATTATATTCTAACTTATGATTTATATTTTTTTAGGTTCAAGCATTGTGGTCAAGTCTATAATGTGTAGTTGCAACAGTGTTGACTGTTTGCATCTGGTGATTCGCAATGACTGTTGTGTTGACTGTTGTTGCTGCAACAGTGTTGCTGTTGCATCTGTTAAGTTTATTATGTATTGTTTAGTTTACATCTGTTAAGTTTAGACTGTTGCTGCTGCAACAGTGAACAGTGTTGACTGTTTGCATCTGTTAAGTATGTAATGTATTGTTTCAACTTTCAATTTCAAACTTAACTTGAGTTTAGTATGTAGTGTTTCAATTTCAAAGTTTAGACTGCTGCTGCATCTGTTAAGTATGTATTGTTTCAATTTCAAAGTTAAGTAAGTATGTACAAACATTGTTGACTGTTTTTTATTGTTTCTGACTTATAGATTTTAGATGCTATAAATCTATAGCATCTGGTGTTTAGTATGTATTGTTTCTGACTTTCTGTGTGGCGTTAGATTTGTATTTGTGTATGGATAGAAAATTATGCATGTGCTGCAACTTCAAACGTTGCTGGTTTCAATTTCAAACGTTGCTGGCTTGCTGCAACAATTATGCATCTGGACAGTGCACTGTTAGGACTTAGGCGTTAGCTAAATTTTAGCGATTATTAAACCGAAACCGTACCGAACCAAAATAAGAAAAACCGAACCATACCGAAATATTTTGGTATGGTATTTGGTATACACAATTGATAAACCGAATACCGAATTACCGAACCGAAATTATTAAATACCGAACCGAAGTACCGAATGCCCACCCCTACTTTCAAGATCACAAAACCAATATTTGGATCACTAATATATATCATAATTACCTGTTAACAATTACGTGGAGAGAGTGGGAAGATATACATTGATACTGTTTTTAATATAAGATCTTGGATAAGGATTAAGAGATTACAGAGAATTATCCCCATGTTTAATTAATGACATTCTTAACGTGTGTAATTAAAACCAACTAACTGAACTTTTAATGGGATCAAACATAAGTGAT